GCAACCCTCAGACATGGCTGGTCCTGACCTAAGGTGATCCTCCCCCCTCCCAACCACCCTTGTTCCCCCTAAAAATTTGTTAAAACACCCCTTTAAAAAGAACCTCAATTTGGCCAATTTGAATAATTTTCTGTTTGCACCCGCAGCAAACAGAAAAGAGAAAAAAACTAAACCAAATTTATAAGAAAATTATTTTGTCCTGCTACTTATTTTCACCCTTTCTCATCGTCAGTGCTATCTTATACCTGCTTCAACAGGCAACCAAATTCACCATGGTGTTGCTATTGTAATGGCATGTAACACAACAACTCAGTGTCTCTCATACCTCTCTTTTATAGAACCTACTTGCTCCTAGAAGCAGACAAGTTAAATAGTTGCCAGTTAAATAGTACTACTCACTCAGTTAGTTATAATTCAAATTTACTTATGATAATATACTTTGTGTCTGGATTATTGATTATAGATTTATACTCTGAGTTAGGTGGAAAAACTTTCAAAGCAGTTACAAAAAGTTAAAAAAAATAAATAGAAATATAAAAATTGAAAGCCAATTAAATAGAAATATAAAAATTGAAAGCTAATATTCAAATATAATCAACCAGGAATGGCAAACACATTTAACATACCATGAATTTAATATGGTTCTAAAATGCAGATTGGAACATATAAAATCCTCAAAGTAAGTAATGAAGGCTTACATAGTCAGTATAACTGAAATAATAATAAGGAAAGAACATTTGCAAGTCATTTGCAGAAATAAATACCTGGTAGTCAGGTTTAGTAAAATAGTCTAAAGAAGAAATGTGATCTAAAAAGATGTTAAATTCTTGAGGGAGATGTTTCAGCATCAGCCGGTGATCATATCTCTCTTTTATAGAGCCTACTTGCTCCTAGAAGCAGACAAGTTAAATAGTTACCATACCTTCTATCTGGACAAAAAATAATTAGTTATTTACAATTTTAAATACATTAGAATTAACATTATATTACTTGAACTTATATGTGTGGTAATAGGTTTTGTCTTTTTTATTTCTATATTAAAGTCTGGAATGTTCAAACTTTTGATGATTGCACTTAACATTTGGGAAGAGGGAAACGAACACAAAGAGGGCAGGACTCTGTCATACCTAACAAAAAAGTATGAAAAAAAAATTGGATACTTCCAAATTTACAGGTTCAGATCTAGTTTACAATTATCCAACACTGCAAAAACTGAAATGTAATGAACTCAATGAACTAAAATGAAACCTACCTTGCAGTTAGGTTTGATTATTTAACATATGTAAATAGAGCCCTATACCCTAGTATATACTGTAATTTTTAAAAGATGCTGTACAAAATAACATTGCTATGTATCACTGTTTATGTTTGAATACAGAATTGGGCAACATAGGATTTTCAAGCCAACTTTTCCTAGTCTTAATACAATTGTCAAAAATCAGTATTTAATCCTTATCTTCCTAGCTAAAATCTGGTAATTCTACCACTATTGCCCATATTGCTGTCAATATTAATGTTTTTTAATGGGGATTGGATGTGGATAGGATCTTAGGTGTAGTCAGAAGGATGAATTTATCCACTACATGAAATTCCAATGAAAATAACCTATGATGTATGCTATTAAATATCAAATACCTTATCAGGTATCTTAAATTAAGTCTCACAGTTAAACCTCAAGATATCTCAACTGCTACATTTCTGAACAAACCTTGTCTTTAATTTTCCTCCAGGGCAGTTGTCCAACCACGAACTCCACCAACATGTAAAACAAAGACCAAAGATCATCATGACGTCCCATCTCCTATAGAAATAAAGAAGACTGCATGTTGATCTTCTTTATTTTGCAGACCTATCCAATATAATCTAGTGTTAGAATACCAACTGTATCGCTAAGAGTATTGCTTATTTAAATATGTGAGTAATGACACACATAAAGGAAATCTTAATGCTACTGCAATAAAGGTACACAAACTATGCAATAAAGGTACACAAACTATTCATCAGGCCTGAAAGAAAAACGAGCTAGTTATTTTAGTAATTCTTTGAACAGCCATCCAAACATTCAGATTTGGGCATTCTAGTACAGAAGTTGTAACTATCTTCAAGATTTGTTTGATGCTGCACTAAGCTTGTGAGTATTTCTCCAATTTCCTAAGAGATTGATGCAGAATTCTGGAAGCACCAAACACACATGAACAGCCATCTGAGGAGTGGAAGCTAAAACAGTTAAGTGAATACACATATGATTTAAGAATTAGGTAGGTATAATGGTTGTGTCCATCTTCATGCATTAGTTGGGTTTTATTAATTTACAGCCCTAGAGCAACAACTAAGCATAACAACTTATTTCATATAATCCGTGTTAACTTCTATCAGTACAAAGTGATGGATCATGAGATGAAAGAAAAGTCTGATCTAATTGAAATGACGCTGGGCCAGAATCACTCACTGACAGATTGAAATGTTAATCCTATCTGTTCAGATCCAGATAGTACCAAGACACTGGTACAATGGAGGTAATAGAAGAGATCTTGTAGATTTCAAGATAATTTACTAAAATTATCTACCAGGTTCCAGAGGACATGCCTTGAGTTTCATAGGAATCCAATTTCAATCTTCCATTGAAAATATGAGGAAAACCATATGCTCCTTTTGTTTCAGGGGTATGCAGGGTAATGCTATTATCAAGAAGAACAGCTGCCAATATTCCCTAATAGTATGGTGGTTGAAACAAACCAGATAGCAAAGCAGATAGTGCTAGGAAGCTGTCCTAACGAATCCCCTATACATTTGTTCCATGTTGTTCATCTCTGAATGTTCATCCCAGCTTTAGTAGGTAGAACATCATCAGATTTCAGACTCTTTTCATGAGGAAATGGCTGCAACAGGCACTGAAAAATTAGGAATGAGAGTGATGGAATGTTTCTACTGGATTTCCAGTATATTTTTCATAGTGATGCTGAGTCCAGAGTATCCTGATCAATCTCTTTTTTTACTTTTTTAGATTTATTTTTATTTTTAATTTATGTGTTTATATATACACAATGTATCAAACAATTTTTTAAAAATACATACATAAACAGGATTCACAAAAAGGAGGGGAAAAGATCTTAAAATTAATCTCATGAATAAAACAGTGGCAAAAAAATATTGCTTAAATTCTTCATCCTTGCCCCACAACAAAAATAAGCAAATCAATAAATAAGAACACAAATATTTTTGGTAGTTTAGACATATTAGCAACCCTGAGCTGTGTTGGGGCAAAATGTGTTTTTCCAATAATAATAATAATAATAATAATAATAATAATAATAATAATAATAATAATAATAATAATAATAATAATAATTCTTTTCACAACCCTTCATGTACATAAAATCTCACAGGTCTTTATAAGTTGATAGATTCCAAATGCTGAAAATATATTCAATTTATGCACCATAAATCATTTAACCAGCAATGATTCATCTAAACTTCTGTTAATGAACTATGGATTTCAGCATAAAATATGACAATAGTAGGACAAGTTCAGGGCATGTCAGTTATGTTTCAACTTTTATACAGCAGCATTAAAAATATACAAAAGAGTGGAATTGTGGTAGACACCAAGCATAATTTTCAGTTATTAAATATTCAGGCCAATGTTAATGGTCATACTCACTCTATTTCGGTGAGCATTGACTGATGCATACCGCACTGTACCTCTAAAACCGGCAACAGCTCGGGGCTATCAATGTAAGAAGGGAGAGAAAAAAAAAGTCCATATTTCAGATTAAGTCAGTAAATATCGATTATTTATAGAAAAAAGATGCTACAAACAATGTTGATTATCTACTTTGGAGTTTTTCTTCTGCTGATAATGCACTCCTTTAATATACTCTAATGGTTCTGCTGCAAGGTAGTCCTTGACATATGACCATAATGGAGTTTGCCCATGACAGGTGTATGTTGTAATGATTATAAATGTTATGACCTTTTTTTGCGGCATTTGTTAAGTGAACATGGCATTTGTAAAGCAGCTGTGGCATTCATAAAGCACTAATGGCGGTCGTTAAGCGAATGCTATGGTTGTTAAGCAAATGCCATGATCATTAAGAGAAGTAATGGTTCAATATGGGCCTGGTTATGCCAAAAATTGGAAATGCTGTTTTTAAGCAAAACTATTGTAAAACACAGTCAGGTGATCACAGGACACTGCAAATGCAACCATGTTGCTGAGAGCCCAAAGTTCAGTCAGGTGACTGTAGATGGGGGAGCTGACCATCAGAACTTTAATTTGGGGGTGTAAGTCCCTTTTTTCCAATTGATTGTAACTTTGAGCAGTTGCTAAGCAACCAGTAAAGGACTACAGTATTTATCAATTCTGAAGATAATTTTTTTGACTGGCAGTTTTGCCAGCCACAGTCACCAACCGCACTTTTAATCAGAGTTACACTGAGCAGAGTAGTCTCTTTATTTTTGAAAAGTACACATAATACACATCAAAATTTCTACAGCTACAAAGATAAATAAAATGGAAGCACAATATTACAAAAATATGTCTATATTGGTTCATTCTAATCATTTAACATCTTAAGATGCAAACTGGGCTTCCAACTGAACATCTATTGCATCACAGAATCCACAATATGCTGGCAATGTTTTTTCAAACTGTTTGACACTTCCACCCACAAAATCTTAATGGAGGTAGCCAGAATTGATGCAGGCAATTGTAATAATTTTTTTTTTAGAAATATTTAAGAATATTAGACTTTAGGAACATTACTATTAACATTTCTTTAAAACTTCAATTATTGGTTGGTAGCATCGTATATTAGCAAAATAGTAATATTATATAATCTAATTTAGCAACTCTGAGTGGCATCAACATTTCAATTTGTAGCTGGGATTAATATTTACATTAAATCTTATAAAGCAACAGTTACAAATATTTTTTATGGTACAGGACCAAGTGGCAATTAAAACAGTGCAGTCTTTTTATCTTTAAAGAACAAACAAGTTTTTAGCAGCTTTCTAATCACCAGTAGGGAAGGTGCTGCTCAGACATTGGGGGGTGGCAACTGACAGATGCATTCTTATATGGTTCCTAAGATGGTAGTCTCTAATCAAGGGCACTTGTAGCAAGCCCCTCCTAACAGATCTTATTGAGAGAAGGCAGTGCCCCAGTTATCCAGGTCCAAATGATAGATGTCTTTAAAGATGGCAACTGAGGTGACCTTGGGGGTCCATGAAGTCAAACAAATAAGTATTTTTAAATTTCTCTGTTTTAATTTCTAATACAGTAAAAATCAAGAGATACAAACCACATAAACTAAAGCTCTTGGAGGAAGAATGCAAAAGGTGTCCTGAAGCCAAAATGTTTGAGAAATACTTATCTACATCAATTTTGAAACATAGTCAACTAAAGAACCCTTTATTTATCCAAATGAACAAACTTAACAAAACATGTGACCAGTTTTATTTTGAAATCCTTGGAAAAGGCTGAAAACAAAGGATTCCTGAAGCAGAAATTTTGGGAACCATAGCCCTAGGCTTGCCAGAAATGAAGCCTTGTCCAGTGTATTAAAAAAGCCCTTTTTAATGTCCATATTTATCTTAGATCACAACATCAGTAATTGTTAATCTCAATTAAATTGATGGCCATTTCTAATCATCTGAATTAGTCAATTCAGTAACTGTTTCTGTTGTTTTTCCCCCCTTTCATCTTCTACCTAACAGTTTGCCTGTCAAATGAAAAGAAACTTTAATATTTCTTCTCAGAAAAATTCTGGGATATTTTGCAACTTTTGAGTTAATGTTTGTCCAAGATTCTGATAAAGATTGCATGGAAATTAACTGAAGCAGATGGAAAACTGCATTCACAATACAATTTGTAGCTGATGAAAATCAGAGGTAGGTAGAGCAGATAGCCAGGTCACAGGTGGCTAACCCCATGCTCCAAAGAACCCTATCCTTGGTATCCACAAATTGAAATGAATGCCAGAACCTTGTAAGACCGGTACCAATTTTGTTTTAAAGCCCTATGTAATAAACATACATGCATTTTTAATATTTATCAGGTGAAATCTGTTTCTCCTCCTAAACAAAGTATTCAGAAGCTAAGTTTTGACTGTTTTCTTAAGCATCACTTAAGACTCCACACTATGGCAATACCACAGGATAAAACTAGAATATGATTGCATTTTTTTTTCTTTACAGTACTGCCAAAAATATATACTATAAACTTCATTTTTCAAAACCATCCTGAAAAATGGATTCATTCAATAATTCATACTGTTAGTCACATTATCACACTGAATTAGGCATTATTTATTTTGAAACTTTGATTAAAATTCCTTACTGGTCTGACATCCCCACATGAGTTTGTAAACTGACGTGCCAAGCCAAAATCCAGCATATAACACTTCCTCCAAGTACTAGGAAAGCGTCCCATAGCAAAATTAGACTAAAAAGAAAAAGAAAAAAGTTTATAATGTAGCAATGAAACAATATAACATCAGCTTTCATTTCATATATTTCAATTGTACGTATTTAGAAAAATAGTTGGTGAATTGATTGGATATTGAAATCACAGATTATTATTGTTGCTTCTGTATTAATATGATACATACACTTAGCTAAAAATAAAATGTATTTTTAAAAATGCAATTGTTCGGATACCATAATTCTATTGTTGTTTAGAAGGAAGGCATTCAGCAGAGCTCACTGGTTAGAAAGAATGATTAGTCCTCTATTATACAGAGAAAATTAATTGTGCAATATTGGATCTAGAATTTCCTCCCAGCTTGAGGAAAAGTGGGAATGATCTATTGATAGGGTTATAGCATTTATCTATCCCCATGGGATCCAAAGACTAGAAAAGATTCTTAATTCTAAAGTTGCTTCCTGAGGGAGGAAATGTGCCCTTTTCCAGTTTCAAAATGACAAGCCAGAAATAATTCAGTAGAAGAAATAAAATAAAGGAGAAATATGTTATCCTATATCTTGGGGGAGATCATAGAGAACTGTTTCTCTCTCCTCTCAGAATCTTTGTTCCCAATAGCCACAATCAGTAGAGAAGGAAATGTACAATAATTTCATAGATTTATTAGACAACCCATAAGCCATTGGGTCATCCTTCGAGAGATATTTTCTTAGCAGATTCCTCAATGCCTTCAACATTTACAGAATGTGTAATGTTCTGCTTTCACTGGAAAAGTTGGAATACATTCAGAGATGTATCTGCCTTGACAATAGCTCATGCTGAACAGCACAGCCAACAATCAGCATGGAAAATGTTTTACTACATTTTGTATTATGTCACAAACTGTTTTATGATCATTTTTATGTCAGAACATGTTTTATAAAATTTGCCAAATTTCAATTCCACAGGAATCTTGGGTCCTGGACTTTGGACACATTCTCTAAGTTAGCCCATTTGAAGTACCTTGGTTTAAAAAGTCGCCCTACGATACATCATTTTACCCAGTTAAAGAGTGCAGGAACAAGAGTTTTAATATAAACAGAATCAAATTTCTCATAAATTTCTTAATTTCATCACAACTAATTAGAGATACACATCAACATGATTTCTCCAACTGCTCCAATGTAAGCAGATAAGTTATCTAAATTAGTAAGCAGAATTACGAAAAGTTGTCTTGGAGCTTTTTCAGAAAGATTTTCAATGAAGAAAAGACAACAAGAGAAGCAGCAGGCAAAAACAGCAGTAAACAAACTGGCACTCTATGCAATGGAAAGGCTCTACATGCACATAGTTCCTGCTTACATGCAGAGCTCCTTTTTTAATTTCCTATTTTATAACTTAAAAGTATTGGACTTTGACCAGCACCAGTCTTGTCAAGGATATAGCTATAATTTGGGAAAGTGTCATCTGTCCTTAGACCAGTGGTTCTCAACCTTTTTAATGCCGCGACCCCAACCGGTCGTAAGTCGAGGACTAAACCAGTCGTAAGTCGAGGACTAAACCGGTCGTACGTCGAGGACTAAACCGGTTGTAAGTCGAGGACTACCCAAACGGTCGTAAGTCGAGGACTTTCCCTGCGCGGGAGCACCGCGCATGCGTGGTTCCGCCCCCTGCCCCGGCCGAGGCGTAGCTGGCAAGCGGCAGAGACGGAGCAGGCCGACCACCAGCTGGCCCAGTTCAAGGGAGGTAAGGCACCCGCCGGAAAAGGGGAAAAAATGGCGGACAAAAAAAATGGCGGACAAAAAAAATGGCGGACAGCCTTGCTTGGCGACCCCCATGAAATGGTCGATCGACCCCAAATGGGGTCCCGACCCACAGGTTGAGAACCACTGCCTTAGACAATTCTTGATGATGAAAGTTCATGTCCTGACTCTTGGCCGTCTTATCCATCAGCACATTGCAATAGTCCAACCGTGAGATGACCAGAACTTGAGTGATTGATCCATGAAAGGGGATACTGGCACACAACACAAAGTTTCACAAAGCCTCTTCTAGCCACAACTGCCATCTGCTCATCAAACAGTTCAGTTCATCCAGAACTAAAGATGTTAAGGTCCCAGGAGCTGCAGCTCTATATACCCAAAGCTACTTGGTCTCACAGAGCAGGGGTTGGGGACCCCTGACATAATGGCTCAGCTGGCATGCGCCTTGTGCCAAACTTTCTACAATAGGGTCTTAGGACTGGGACAAAAGAGAGGATAACCCCCTGCCTAGTAAAATAACAATTTATGATCTTATTCATGAAAATTGTGTCTAGGCACAAATTGGTTTAGCCAGATGATGATGAAATGGTATTTCAGGAAGGTCTGGACCTTGCTCACAGATCTCATATTGTATACAGCCCCAAAAAGTTTGTGCTGTCTTGGGCTTTTTTCCACATAAGATCTATAGAATGTGCACCCTATTCCCTGACACTGATGACTATGTTCAGCTGGACCTGTATGGAGAGACCTATGTCCCTCCTCCCGAATAGAGACAGACACAACAAAATTCTCCACCTTCAGAACTAGGCATTTCAGAGATCTTAGGGATATGCAATTCAGGAAAGGATTAGAGTTAGGGCATCAATAGAGAGGAATGGAATCTGGCCATGGTACTGATCATCTGGCCTGAAGGCTGCCAAGAGTCATGAGGCCTGTTGAATTATCTGTTTTTGCTAGATAAGGTCTCTTTCTGTGTCCAGAATGGCACAGAGATGGTACTATTTGAAAGATGTTCTTATTTTCATTGATTGAAAATGCCAGGTCCTCAAGGATCTGCACTGTGATCTAAATGTCCTTTCTTCCCTGTTCAATCTACAGGGATTAGATGAACAAATCATTTAAATAAGAGAATATCTGTATACCCCAGGATCTGAGACAGGCTACAAATATCATGTTGTACATGAATACCATAGAAGCTGACCACAGGGCAAATGGGAAGGTCTTGAACTGGTATCCCTCAGGAAATGGGAGAAATCACTCTGTAAGCTTCAATCATCTTTTGTACAAGGGTGATCTGGCTCCCTGGAGGAGTGGCAATAGACCCTCCTGTAGTTGCAGGGTTTATGGCCAGTGATGTCACAGCTGCAATGTTAGTTGGTACTTCTGGGGGAAAGAACAAGTTTATACCTATATGAAGACTCAGCCAATCAAGAGTTGCTGTTCATGAGCTTGTTTATCATTTTATTACATGTTTAGTAAGAGAAAAGGACAAAAAATAGCCTAAAAAAATAATAGCCCTATTCCTAAGTCAAGTGGGAGGGAGACATCCTCTGCAGAATTTGCTGACTTCACTTAAGTAAAATGTTAATATATTCTCAGTAGATAAGACAATCATCTTTAATTTTTTTTATATTAAAAATATGTTTTAAGCTCATAGCAGTTATTAGACAAAATAATTACAGATGTTGAGATAATGTTAACTGAAAATTGATAAAATTGATTTTATTTTATTGTTTATTTTATTTATTGTTTGGATTTTTATCCCGCCCTTCTCCTTACGGACTCAGGGCGGCTGACAGCCTGGTAAAACAAATACAAAGATAGAAAATACCCACTTTAAAACCTAATTAAAATGAAATATTTGATGTGGCCTGTGTCAATTTTAAAATTATTCTTAAAACCCCACTAAAAATTCCCCCTAGGCCAGTCCTGCTTGTTGGAATAGCCATGTCTTAAGGGCGCGGCGGAAGGAAGGGAGATCCGGGATCACCCGGATCTCTGGGGGTAGTTCATTCCAGANGGTGGGGGCTCCCACCGAGAAGGCCCTCCCCCTGGGAGTCGCCAGCCGGCACTGTCTGGCTGACGGCACCCTGAGGAGACCCACTCTGTGGGAGCGTACCGGCCGATGGGAGGCACTCTGAGGCAGAAGGCGGTCTCGGAGATAAGCTGATAAACAAATATTAGTTTTTAAAACAGGTGCAGATATCTTTATGATTTTAGATTAAATGTATCTAGATTAATAAGCTGCTGTGTTATGTAAACAATTACAACTGTAAGCAAATTCTTGCTTTTGATATATGGAGAAACTCACTGGTTTAATATCTCTGTGTAAAAATCCCACCAAATGAATGCTCTCGATAGACTCCAGAATTTGCTTCCCAAGACGTAATGTTGTACTAATTGTGAAAGTCCCTCGAGTTTGGCTTCGACGCAAATCTGCCAAATTCCGCCCCTGAAAGAAACAAAAACAATAACATCCGGAATTTTTTTTCTCATCTTCTTTTGGTAAATTAATATTTAACAGATAAACTAAATGCAAATGTAAAGATAGCATTTTCAATACTTACAATATCAAATGATTTTAGAAAAAAAGTACAGTACATATTTTGCTTGTTCTTCATTGTTATACTATTTTAAAGTCTTACTGAAGCTTGCAAAGTCCTCTTTCAGTTCTGCCTGCAATGCCTTTCTCTTAAACAACTAATGACTAAAAAGAAACCTGAGATTTGCAGATTCAACAAAAATATGAAAGGTTTGAATACCCATTCAAGTCAGTGCTTTATAACACCATCTTTGGCAGAAATAGCAGGTTCCAAATGTTTCCTCTATATTCTTGGTTTTGGATTTTTTTCACCTTATAAGAACTCTTCTAGCTCAGAAATGTTCTTAGAACATCTTGTATTCACTACGTTTGAGATCTCTCTACAGATTTTTAATAATATTCCAGTCTGGGAATTGTAAAAGTCATTCTATCATTTACTTTCTTCCCTGGTAAGTGCTTCATTGTTGATCTGAACATGTGTTTCAGATGTTTGTCTTGCTAAAATTTTCAACGTCTTTTCAGCCTTAATTTCTTCACTGACTGTGTAAGTATGCATTCAAATTTAGAGAAAGACAGTTGTCTTTAACTGCACCATGAATAACTTAAGTCAACTTACACTTGACTTACACTTACACTTGACCAGGAGTGCCTAAACTTTTGCAATCAAGCATAGATGCCTTTTCCAGGGAAATTTACTTAGTACAAAATGGTTCCTTTTTTGGTGTCAGTGAACAACCTTATCTCTTCTCTACCCATGAACAAATAAGTTACAGAAGCTCATTTTAATTGAATGTTTCATAGGTTCTATTTTATTTTATTTAATAATCAGCTGCTACAGTATAATTTTTTTTTAGGATGTAGCGTCAAAAAGAAGATATTCCCAGTGAATTTTACTACTAATTTTAAAAAATACACGTTAGACCATAAGCACTGGCTAAAGGAATCTGTGGTTCCCCTCCTCAGCTACAACTTATAGTAATAATAATAACAAAGCAACATCACTATAAATCAAAATTCCTTTGGACATATAGACTAATAAAAATGGCTGTAACTTGGTATTTTGGTTTGGCTTAATCCCTGCAAGAGGAAAATTGCTTTAGAAAAAGAGGCAAGAACAAACAGGAATGATAAATAGAATCTAAAGGAATTGTACCTCACTAGTTTAATCTATATAAATAAAAATGTAAATGTTCGTTTGTTCAAAATCTTAAATCTCTGAAAGTTCTTCACCGATTGCTTTGAAATTTTGACACAACGTTGCATTCGAATACGCACGTGTTTTTATATACCTATATTATATAGATGTCACACCTGTGACAGGTAAAAACATGTTTTGAAAAACAGCACCATCTGTTGGACGTAAAAGCAACACACGCTTTTACCAGACTGAGCCACAGCAACACGTGGCTGGGTACAGCTAGTTATAAATAAATATGTATCTTGTGACTGCCTTCATCTACCATGGCAGGCATTGCTTTTTAAGGATCACCCATGATAGCCATCTTATGAAAACAGCCATGGCATATTCCCAAAATTCCAAAGTCCAAAAAGAATCTCTATCCCTATGTTAGAACAATGGAGAAATTAAGTGAAGAGGTTAGGATGTGATTTGATTATATGCCATCAAATCTTAAGGACCATATGGATAGATTTTTTTTCCATGGCAATTTGTTCCTAATTTACTCTTTTAGGTCTTTCAATAGTGCCTCCTTCAACAGAGCCTCTCCAAGTGAGGACTCTGGGTTGATTTGTTTATAACAACTACATTCTTCTTCTTCTTAATATTTCCAACTTTGGTATTCTAGTCAACAATTGCAAGGATCTCATTATCTAGTACTATATTATCAATCATTTGATATTTTCAATCCATGTGGTTTCTTTAATAAAAATACAGGAGTGGTTTACCATTGCCTTCCTCTGCACAGTATTTATTTATTTAAAAGATTTGTATGGCTACCCATCCTAAAATGCAATTCTCGGCAACTCAGGAAAAGGATGAACTGAACCATAAAAAATATAAAACTGTAAAAGTATGATTTGATGTTTTTTCCATTGTCACCAAAATGACCATTTATCTATAGCATCTCTCTATATTGCTCCTGCTTGCTTTTCCTGGGCATCTGGGATGATTTTCACACCATGGGTGACCCTGCTGAGAATATATACACTTGGTATACTCTCTTGGTGTTTTTCGTTCATCCCTCCCAGGAACAACCTCCACCACAATGAGGTAGCCCAGGAGGACTTGGGAAGGTTAGCATATAACAATATAGAATTAGCAATCAAATTAAACCAAAGGCAACCTTTTCTCTATTTTTAATAAAAAAAATATTTCTTCTGGAAAAAAGTATGAAGCTATTTAGGTCACTTCCAACTTTCTTTCTCTTTTAAAAAAACATTATATCCTAGAGGGCTGAAATAAATTTGTATAACTTTAAGAACAAACTAAACAAATGAAAGAATAATCAGATTCTTCTAAGTATTTCTTTTTAAGCTATTTAAACCTGTAGATTTCAGCTTTTTGACTTCTGAAGAGTATATATAATTCCACAATTAGCCAAAGTACTTGCTTAGTCTTTGTATACATTAATAAAACTCATGAGGCTAAAAATGTAATGGAAATGCATAACAATATATAATTTGTTCACAAATAGATATTTTCAGCAATAAAGCTGAACATCAGTGAAGAATCCAAACTTATTTAAACTAGATAATCTTACAAAAAATCAGACATATTACATATCTGAATTTCATTTGCAGTTTTCCCACTTAAATAGAAAAACATTTTTTTTGTATGTGCAGGAAGACAAACCATAGAGACTCATTAACAACTGACATAGAAATAAAAGTAAAAAACTCACCTGCAATTGCATGACCACATAATTAAATCTGTCATTCCTTCCACAGCCTACGAATCGACAAATATGATCTTTCCCTGAGAAGGAAACATTTTATATTTGTTCATTTCTTTTCACCAGCTTAAATCCAGAGAAACATAATAGTATATTTGTTCTTGACCAATCTTCCAGAAAGATTTTTATTATTATTTTGGAAAGAGAGAAAGAGCAAAAGAAAGATTTAACTTATGAATGGTTTGGGTTATAGATAAGGATAACTTCAAATCAGGATAATCTCTTGCTTACAGAAAATACCTCTACCCAGTTTTCATTTCTACTTTTTGCTTCAGTCTTTAATGTCATTTCTTACCAGTTCAAGAAACGTCAGATCTTCAGGTTAAATTATTAGACCTAAGATTAATCTCTTTCTGAGAAAACTCTCGAAATCTATATTTTTATTTCTATGGGAGGCTACAAGGTGACACTTAAGTCATTGTTGAGGAAGCTGCAGGAATTTCTGTTTTTTATTACATATATTTAAAAAATGCCCAGCTTCCAAAGTCTCTGGGCACTACAAAAGGCAGAATTATAACAGAACAAATTATATGTGTTCAGAAAGCCATACAAAACAGCATATAACCTTACCAACCACCCTACCTCCTAGGAAAATAGTCAGGTTTTCAATGTCTTTTGGAATGCCATCTGGGTGGGAGCCATACACATCTCTGAGGGGATTCTGTTCCAAAGAACAGGGGCTATGGCATAGAAGATATGCCCCTGGGTTCCTACTAGATGGCATTATTCAATTGAAGGGACTTGAAAAATATTCATTCTGCTGGCTTAGAAATAGGAGCACTCAAATAACCAGGCCATATGCCATGAAGGGCTTTATAGGTAGTAGCCAGACCTTGAATTGTACCAGAAGCCAACTGGTAACCACTGCAGCTTTCAGAGGAAGTGGTGTCACACAGGCATACCATGTCATATCCATTACTATCTGTGCTGATGCAATCTAGACCAGCTATAGCTTCCAAGTGGTTTTTCAAGGGCAGCCCCAAGTTGTGTGCACTGCAATATCCCATTCTTGAGGTGACTAGAGTGTAAGTCACCATGATTACAATCTGTTCAAACATACCCATGTTCAAATAACTTTCTGTTATGAATATGGCACTGTATTATTATATGCAGAATAGCTTTTACAAATTGTTCAAAAACTGCAATTGTTTCTGAATAGGTTTGAAAACTAAAAAAGTAGTATTTTATAAGCGCTATCCATTTGATTGGCTCCTGGCCAAGCACCTTAACCTTTAACATTTTAAATGCCTTAAGGCTTAGGCTACCTGAAAAGATACCTTTCCCTGTATATTCCCACCCATATCTATTACTTTTTACAGGGTCTCCTCAGTGCCCCACCCAAAAAAGTGATGCAAAAACTGCTAAGGAAAAAGACCTTCTCAGCAATGGTAAACAGACTAAGATATATACGATAATTTATTCATTGTTGCTCTTCAAATGATTTTTGTACTATTGTTTGGGCTTCTCCGGCTTGTTCTGGTTCTTACTTAAAATATTTTCATCTTATTTATCCCCCCTAGAGTTCTAGATAGTTTCTATTTAATAACTATTAAAACATCAGGAAATAACCATTGTTCTAAAAATATTTTAAGTCTTGAGATAATATTTAAAAAAAAAATACCAGATGAGATTACACACTAAAGGCCTCCCTAAAAGTAGTCTTTACCGAGAGAAGAGGTTTCAGAGATTTGATGCAGGCCCTGAAAAGGCCCTCTTTCTAACCATAGGCCAACAGATTTCAAGGGTTATTGAGTCATACAGAAAGGATTCCAAAGATGATGTCATCAGGCTAGCAGAGATAGTATGGAAGAAAGCAGAAGACTCTCATCCTGATCCTAAAATATTAAGAAGTTTAAAGATTACTAGAATTTTAAACAGGAAACCAGTATACCTACTCTAAATTAGGATAGCACATGTTCCTTATATCCCACCCATTAATAATTAGGATGCTGCTTTTGGACCAATTTAGATTTTTAATATTTTTCAAGAGTACTGTACATAGCACAAACCACATCTATAATTTAATTATGTTGTAATTAATGAACCTATCATCCTGGCTAGATTTTGAATGTGCACGGAGAGAAAGGAAAAACCTGCAGCAGGCGGCAGAAGCTCGTAACATTCCCTGGCGGCTTCCACACTGACTTTCTCATATGATTGCAGGACACTTGGCAACCAATCATAAATTCAAACAGGTTGCCCATTACCCAGATCACAGTCACATGACTGTAGGGAGGGGGACATTTTATGACGGCCTCCAGAAATTAACGGTGTTCTGACACTGGAGGTTTTTAAGAAGAGACTGGACAACTATTTGTCTGAAGTGGTATAAGATTTCCTGCCTGAGCAAGGGGTTGAATTAGAAGACCTCCAAGGTCCCTGCCAACTCTGTTATTCTGTTATTCTGAAGTGTTTTATAGACTCTTTCCAAGTGTCATAACTTTGAATAGTCATTAAACAACTGGTCATTAAGTCAAGGACTACTTGCATTCCTGTATTGATGTTGCCGAGAACAATTTTTCCCCCTATGTCATTTTTTCAACTAATACTATTTCCAAAATTATTGCTTATGGCATAATAAAAATATTTATTATAAACTGATATCAATTATAAAAAGTAGATTTAAGAGAAAACTATATTCCAATGCAATTTGAGTTAGACAAATATTGGAAAAAAATTCAAGGATGCAAAGGTTCCTCATTATGAATATTTACTGCTGTGTATGCATTAACTCAAGAACAACTAGTTTCTTTCTTAATTCCTCCACCCCACCATGTGTAACAATGACGCTACAAAAACTGTGGGGGGGAAAGCAATTTACCCAATGTCTAAAATATGCTCTTTGCTGAGAATACTGACAGCTGAAATAAACACAGTTGTAGAACCCCTTACACTGAGGAAGCCGGTTTAGGATATCATGTATCAGCAACCTGGAAGTAGGATGTAATGATTTCTATGTATACACAGAAATTTTCTTCTTACTAATACTAATCTTCAGGATAATAAAATACAGGTAGTCCTTGTTTTACAACAGTTTGTTTAGTGATCATTCAAAGTTACGATGGCATTGAAAAAAGTGATTTATTTTTTTATAGATATTTTTATTAAGTTTTTATAGTTATAGTCTTTAGTGCTTAATAAACAACATGTTGTCTGGGTCCACATATTTGACATTAATAGTAATACAACTTCCATTCCTACTCTCTACTCCATTTTTCTAGCCATTTGTAAAAAATAAGCCATGCTTGAAAATATTCTGTATCTTCTTTCCCTTTTATTTTCAATGTAAGCCTATCCCAGTGATGGTGAACCTTTTAGAGACCAGGTGCCCAAAAACTGGCCCTGCCCCGCTCCACCCCCTGCCCCGCCCCCACCTGCCAGCAGGGCCACTCACCGCCTCCAGGGCCCGCCACAGATCGCCCAGGCAGCCCAGCAGCGCCATGGCAGCCACGCCCTCTCCCCGTGTCCTGCAGCATCAACTATGTGTGATGGGGCATGAGGGCAGAGTCTTGTCTACGCTGCCTGACTGCCATGTCCTTTGATGGCATATAATCACAGGCAGTAATGTATATGACATGGTATGCCTGTGTGACTCCCTCTTCTTTGTGGCAGTTCCTGAGATATTGGAATACTGCTATCATGTCCCCCCTCGTCCTTCTCTTCATTAAACTAGACATGCACAATTCCAGCAACCATTCCTTATATGTTTTAGCCTCCAGTCCCCTAATCATCTTTGTTGCTCTTCTCTGTATTCTTTCTAGGGTCTCAACATCTTTTTTACATCGCGGTGAGCAAAACTGGATGTTGAATTGATGGTCAACTTCAAACCTAACGATCATGGTTCTTTAACTTTAAAATGATCTTGGATGGAGCAGTCTTTCAAGCAAAGGAAACTTCTAGAGGCTGATCTATTTGATTTGCTCACATGCCTTTCAGTATCTGAATATTCAATACAGTTTACAATAGCCAACAAGATCTTTGGATTGTGGTAGAATGGATATGTGAAAATAAATAAAAAATAAAAAATTACACATATTTTTCTAATTACAAAATGCTACAATGTAATAATAATTCTCCTAATCCAGTGGTGGGATTCAGCCGGTCCGCAACACTTCAACAGAACCGGTAGCTAATTTTTTTGTTGCCCAGGCCCAGAATGGACTTCCAGAAGCGGCATCCACGCAGAGAACCGGTTGTTCACATATTTGAATCCCACCACTGTCCTGATCCCTTCAGAGAATTCTGTGTATTACTCCAGTTTTGATTTTGATTTGATTTTGATTTTGATTTTATTAAATTTATACCCCGCCCTTCTCCCGGAGGACTCAGGGCGGCTTACAGCCAGTTTAAAACAATGGTACAGTACAATACAAAATTTAAAAAAGATTAAAAATAACTATTCAAATTTGGCCGCTTCTACTAAAAATTTAATTTAAAACCCCTTTAAAATACCCCTAGGCCAGT